AGGAGGAAGAAGGTGGAAGGTGCGTGGTTACGGTGGATGAGTGAAGGAGATGGAGGAGGAAGAAGGTAGAAGGTGCTTGGCTACGGTGGATGGGTAGAGGAGATGGAGGAGGAAGAAGGTAGAATGTGCTTGGCTATGGTGGATGGGTGAAGGAGACGGAGGAGGAAGAAGGTAGAAGGTGCTTGGTTAAGGAAGAAGGTGGAAGGTGCGTGGCTATGGTGGATGGGTGAAGGAGATGGAGGAGAAAGAAGGTAGAGGGTGCTTGGCTATAGTGGATGGGTGAAGGAGATGGAGGAGGGAAAAGGTGGAAGGTGCTTGGCTATGGTGGATGGGTGGAGGAGATGGAGGAGGAAGAAGGTAGAAGGTGCTTGGCTATGGTGGACAGGTGTGGAAGATGGTGGAGGAAGAAGGTGCGGGGTGCCCGACTATGGAGGACGGGTGCGGGAGACGGAGGAGGAAGAAGGTAGGAGGTGCTTGGCTATGGTGGATGGGAGAAGGAGATGGAGGAGGAAGAAGGTAGAAGGTGCTAGGCTATGGTGGATGGGTGAAGGAGACGGAGGAGGAAGAAGGTAGAAGGTGCTTGGTTATGGTGGATGGATGAAGGAGATGGAGAAGGAAGAAGGTGGAAGGTGCGTGGCTATGGTGGATGGGTGAAGGACATGGAGGAGGAAGAAGGTAGAGGGTGCTCGGCTATGGTGGATGGGTGAAGGAGATGCAGGAGGGAGAAGGTGGAAGGTGCTTTGCTATGGTGGATGGGTGAAGGAGATGGAAGAGGAAGAAGGTAGAGGGTGCTTGGTTATGGTGGATGCGTGAAGGAGATGGAGGAGGGAGAAGGTGGAAAGTGTTTGGCTATGGTGGAGGGGTGTGGGAGATGGAGGAGGAAGAAGGTGTGGGGTGCCTGGCTATGGTAGATGGTTGCGGGAGATGGAAGGGGAAGAAGAAGGTGTGGGTATGGTGCCGCCTTGTTTGCCCATAGGCCCGAGACTCTTCCTACCTACCACCTACTCTCCTATCACTACCTCAACCAAGAGCCACCGGTTCGTACCTTACATCGAAATTGCAGAAAATTCACAGCCTTGCAGAAAAACTGCAGAAAATTCAGAAATTACAGATAATACAAAATTTGCAGCCAACAACGAATTTAAAGAAAACTGCAGACTTAAAAAAAATCGGAGCGCTGCTACCTAGTGTATGAGTGAACAGCACAAATATGAGCAGCCAATATCGCAAGAGAAGAGCATCACAAACACTCAAGGGAGAATCGGAACACTCCTACCTACTATATGAGTGAAAAGCACAAGTGTGAACAGTCCAAATCACAAGGGAAGAGTAGCACAACACTCAAGGAAGAATCAGAGCACTACTACCTACTACATGAGCGAAAAGCACAAGTGTGAACAGTCCAAATCACAAGGGGAGAACAACACAACACTCAAGGAAGAATCGGAACACTCATCCTTACCTCATGAGTGAAAAGCGCAAAGTGTGAACAGTCTGAATCACAAGGGAAGAACAGAACAACACTCAAGGAAGAATCGGAGCACTACT